AGGAAGGAGCCAGTGGCTGACAAAAGAAAGTGGCGCCCCGCCCAGGTGCCGGCGCCTCAAGAGCCGCCAGGTGGCTGCTGGACCCGGGAATAGAGCCTGGTCTTTTATAGCCTGGCCTGCGTCACGTGGCTGGGCGGTGTCTCCGCCCCTGGCCGGGAAAGATTTCTCTGGGGCGGGGCGGGGCAAGGCCTCGGGGCAGTCGGTGGCAGTGCGCGGGAGTCGTGCCTCCTGGAGCGTGTTTGTGGGGTGCGGCTGTTAGGGGACCCTGGTGTGCCTGCGGAGGTCCCCACCCTCCCCATTTCGAGGTCCACCTTTCAGCTTAGCCCTGCTCTCGCGGTTCCCACGAGCCAAGCTGCCTTCTGTAAACCAACGTCTGCGGGGAGAGACAGAGTCCCCTGAAGGAAGCACTGCAAGGGGACCTGTGTGAGACCCCAGCTCTCCCCGCCTTCCCGCTGCGTGGGTGACTGAGCATGCCCCCGCCTTGTGAGACCTGATAGAGCACGACTGGGGACTCTCTTGCTTCTCTAGATGTCCTTGGTGACGATCCCTAGCGCAAATGCCCCCCCTCCCACTCCCACGCCCCTTTGGGGGACAGGAACTGTGGAGCCTCCAAGAGAGTCTCAGGCTGGCCAGAGCTGTGCTGTGATAGAGCAGGGCTGAGTCAGTCTAGGGCTGGCTGCACACTCGCGAGAATGGCAGAATAGCCCTGCGACCTGCTTTCCCCAGGAAGCACCTTCCTTTGACCCCCCCCCCTCCACTAGGTATTTCTCAAGTTATGCAAACACAAACTTGTTGAGGGAACCTGCAGCCTTGCTAACTTTGTTTGGCAGTTAACACCAACAGGGATTGAGCTCACTCCCTGTGTCTCAGAAGCTTGATCTGGTTGGTCCACTCAGTGACCCGAGGTCATTACTATTACCATCTCCATTCCACAGATGAGGAAGTGCAGGCACAGTAAAGACATAGGTCCTTGGCAGAAACAAGCTGTAACCTGGTCCCTTCAGCTTCCTGACCTGGCACTTCCCTGCCATGTAGTAATACCCATAAGGCTACTGCCTTCTGAGCCTGCCCTTGCTTGCCCCTCACCTGCTTCCGGACTGAAATCCCTGTCTATGACAGTCTTGGTGGCCTGGGGCATGGGCACGCCCCAAGTGTCCTTCCTACCCCCAACAGGAGGACTGTCCCTGCTGACCTACACCTCCTGCCCCAGAAACAGGAACCCATTCTCCCTTGGCCAGGCCAGTGCTCTGGATGTGATAGAGATGGATTCTAGCAGCCAAAACTTCAGGGACAAGAAGGGACAGAAACAGGGACCCTTAGTCCAAAACAAGGACTAACTCTTGGCAGACATCAAATGGGGGACCCTGTTCTGACTTCAGCTGGGTGGGCCTCTGGGACAGAAAGTGGTCCAGGTCTTTTCCAGGTTGTGTGGTTTAGTCCTTGACTTCCTGTGGAGGAGTCTGGGGGCCCAAAGTATTTGCAACCTTTAGATGGGACAAGGGTGGCAGGGGTCAACTTCATCTTCTCCGGACAAACCCTCCAGGGGGCCCATAGAGCCTGGGTGGATGCTTCCCAGTTCTACTCTTAGCTGTTTCCTTGGCTGTGAACCTGGAGGAGGAAAATGTCACTTCTGGATGGCTGCTATGAGCCCAGCCCTACTTGGGGATTTACATTTCATGTCATGAGAGGCCATCAAGGGCTCTTTCAAGGCTGACAGCCTGTGATCTGGCATAAGGACCATGCCTGTAACCCTAGCCAGTGTGAAGCAAACCCTTACCAGGTGTCTACCCTGGCTGAGGCTCTGTACATATCATCTCATTAACCCTTATCCAGCCAATTCCATAGGTGAGGACTCAGGCTGGGAAAGGTGGGGTCACCTGACCAGAATTATAGTTAGCATGGGACACAGCCAAAATTTGCTCCCAGGCCACAGAAGGACCTTATTGGGTTGGTTATGTGTGCACAGGGGTCAGCTCATCTGGACTCTGCCTTGGCCCACCCAGCATGGCTCCAAAAGCAGCTCAGGATGCTGCAGCACCAGGCAAGCTTGACCTGCACTCCCTGGACCCTACATATGCCTGGGCCTTAGGACCCAGGGCCTATCTCTGTAAGGAAGTCGACCTTCATCCCTCTTCTGCCCTTGATAGAGCATGACCAGGACAGCCTTAGCCCCTCTGCCTCTTTTTGAGTTCCTTGTGCTTCTCCAGAGGAGGAAGACTGAGGCTGATGTGCGTTCTAAGTCCCTGTTTTAGTCAACTTTTTGCTGCTGTGGCTAAAAGACCCAACCAGAACAATTGTAGAAGAGGAAAAGTTTATTTGGGAGTTCATGGTTTCAGTCCATAGTCAGCTCCATTCCTCAGGGCTCAAGGTGAGGCAGGACATCATGGTGGAAGAGAGTGGCAGAGGGAAGCAGCTCATATGATGATCAGAAAGCAGAGAGAGAGAAAGAGACTCCACTTGCCAGATACAAGGTATAAATATACCCTAAAGCCAAGCCCCCAATATCCATTTGCTCCAGCCTCACCCTATCTGCCTTCAATTTCCACTTAATTAATTCTATCATGGAATTAATTTACTAATTGGATTAAGGCTTTCATGACCCGATCATTTCTCCTCTAAACCTTTTTGCATTGTTTCATACATCCAAACTGTAACTGTCCCTAAACTCATGAGCCCATATAATCCTGAAGACCAGGGAGTGTTTCCTGTTGGTTTATTCCTATAGTTATTCCTATAGTTAACTCTAAAGCAGATGTTTCCAACAATGGGTAGTTTTGCCCCTGTGAGGCATTTGGCAGCATTTGGAGATTTATTTGTATGTCACAAATTATGTGTAGAGGGGAGTGGGATATGGGATTGCTACTGATGTCTAGTAGCAATAGAGGCCAGAGATGCTGCTAAACATCCTAGGGTGCACAGGACAACACCCATAACAAAGAATAATGTGGCCCAAAAGTCCTTAAGTGCTGAAATTGAGAATCCTTGATGCAAAGTATGGCTTTTGAAGCTGGGCAGACCTTGCTTTGAGTTCTGCCTCTGTGTACTATATATTCTTGGGCAAGTGGCTTCATCTTTCTCTTAGGCTCAGTTTGCTCACCACCCTCTGGGAGGGTGGCCCCCACCTATGGGAGACTTGAGGACTGGGCAGACTGCACACATCCAGCACCTAGGACAGGCTAGCACAGGGTAGCCCCATGACTGATAGCCATCATTCTTCATTTCCTTTTCCAAGGTGGAAGGTAGCATGTGGCAACAAAGGTCTGGTGGCTGGACCTGGAGCTCCCCAATGTCTAGACATCCTCTATGGTTCCTAGTACAAGGTAGGGCTATTGTTGATGTTGAGGGAGAGGCTGGGTTGGCTACTGTGAACCCAGAGGAGGAGCCAGAAAGGAAACCTGATTCCAAGTGGGCAAAGGTCACTCAAAACTCACCTTGCAGCACACCACCTTTTCCTTCAGCCCAACGCCAGGAAAGCTAATGAATATGTTCAAGATGATGCCCTGGATTGCAAGTGGACATCAGGGAAGAGTGGCATTTGAATGGACATAACCAAGAAATACAGAGATACGGGGATGGACAGGAAATGACCCAGGAAATGTTATGTTCAAAAGTGTGAAGAGTGAGGGACCAGGGCTGTGAACTTAAGACGCTAATTAATTTTCAAACAGAGTTCTGCCTCCTTCCAGGGTATAGGGTACAGGGCCCTCCCTCTGTAGTGGGAGGAGTCATTGTGGTTTTCTCTCTCCAGCCCAGATCCTCAACACATCTTTGCCAGGCATCTCCATCCCTGGTCTCATGGTCAACCCCCACCCCCCTTCCTGCAGCCCTGCAATCTACCTGGTCTGGTCTCTTCTTCCCACCCACTTTCTCCAACCTCAATCACGTGTTCTGTTTCTTACCCCGCCTCTCCTAGCCTCCTGCTTCCTGCCAGCCCGCCCACTGCCTCATCTGATTCCCAGGAGCCCCCTTAAACCCGTCACCGGCCCATTGAAACAGCCTTCCCCACCCTTCCACTGCTGCAGAAGACTAACGTTCTAGCTGTGTCCTGTCTCTGCCACAGGCCCCATAGTCAACTCAGGCCTCCTCAGTGGTCATCCTCCACTTCTAAAGCCCCAGGGTCTCAGCTAGGAAGAGCAGTCTAGACTATTCTCATCCCCTCAAGGTGGTCCCCCAGGAGGCCAGAGCACAGAACTCCGGTTTTTTTTTGCCTCCTGCAAAATGCCATTTCTTGGACTTAGTATGAGGCAATGGCTTGGCTTTCTGAGTTTTGAGGGCAGGGGATTGACTCCCTAGACCCCAATTGGTCTAGGCTCAGAGTACACTGGGTGAAAAAAAATGAATGAATGAGTTATAGCTGACAACGAATTTTCACGTCTAGAAAGGGAGTTCTTGTGCCTGCCTAGGGCTATGGAAACTCTGGAAGGTAGGGACAGGACAGCAGAAGAACGGGAGAGGTAGAGGCAGCTCTTAGAACTGCCCGATGAGCAGTGTAGACTCAGATCAACTAGAACTGCCAGCCCAGGAGTCTTTCCAGCTGCGTCTTTGGGGCAGGGCTTGGACCAGCAGGCCTGGCGGCGGGCACTGAGCCCGGTTGCGTCCGCGCTCCAGCCAACAGGAAAAGAAGAAGTGAGGCCAGGCTGGGAGGGCCAGCTGGCCAGTGGGGAGTCCCAAGCGTGGGCGTGAGGAGCCCGGGAACCCCCGCGGGCGCCTCCTGGGCTTCAGGGTGTATAGGGGCCCCACCAACCTCAGCCTCCTCCACTGTAAAATGGGGTCCCCTCCAGATGCCGGCTTGTGGACTACTGGAGGGCGGAGGCGTGAAGGGTGCTGGGGAGGCTAGAGAGGTCAGAAGACTTAAGCCAGACCTAGAGAGGCACAAACCCGCTGGACCCTTCAGCTCCCAGCTGGCGGGGGCGGGGCCCTGGAGGGGCCGGCACTTGTGGGCGGGCCCTCAGCGGGGGCGGGGTTGAGGCCGGCACCTGGGTGAGGTCGCGCCGCCCCGCCCCCTTGCACTTCCGTGTGCAGCGGCGCCTGAGCAGGAGGCGGCGGCCGCTGGGATCCCCAAAGCGACCCCTGGTATCTGGCAGCAGCGCTGAGACCGGGGCCGTCCCCACCCGCCCCTGGACCCGTCCGGGTCAGGCCTGCACCGATCCCCGTCCGCGCGCACTCCTGGGAGCAGCTCCGGGAACCAGACCCCTGCCGCCGCGACCCCTGGCGCCTGGCCTCGCGCCAGGAGGTGAGTGAGAGCAGGGCGCGGGATCCGGGCTACCTACCTCGAAAGCTCAGCGCTTCTCCCTTCCCCCTCCCTTCTCCGGTTCCCTTTTCCGAAACTGAGAAACTGAGCTGCGACCAGCAAAGTCCCGCCGAGTGCCGAGACCCGCGGTGTCTCGGTGCCCCCGTCCGTCTGTCCCTCTGTTCGACGGTGGGAGCCTGGGCCCTCATGTCCGATCGCTCCCTGGCCTTCTACCTTCCTGTGTGCCCCGGCCGCTCCAAGGGTCCGATCGTCCCTCCCTGATCTCTCTGGGGCCCTCTGTCCGTTCGTGTGTCCTCGCTCCCTCTGTGTTCCCGGGTCCGCCTCTCCCCAGACCGGGTCTGTCTGCTAGTCGCCCTCCGCGTGCTCCATCGCCCCACCCCCACCACTCACCCCGCCGCCCCCTCGATCCTGTCCTCTCGCAGCCGCGCCCCCGGCCCACGCTCGCAGTCCGGTGCCTGTCCAGCAGCCTCTCCTTTAGAGCCGGAGCCAGACGGCCCGCCACGCCTCATCTCCCGCCCCTGGGTCCCATCCGGGCGGACCCGCTCGGCGCCTCCAGCTCTCTATCTCTTCTTTCAGTCTTGATGTCTTTCTCGGTCTCTCCATCTGTCTCTGGGCTGGGCGTGGCTCTAGTCTCCACCATCCCCCTTCTCACCCCGCCCCTCTGAGCCCCCTCTCCGGGTGGCCCTGCCTGGTGCGGTAAGTCCCAGCTTCCCTAACCCAGGAGCCACCTCCCTGGGGGCCCAGGCTGGTAAGGGAAGGGGGGTGGAGATGGAGGCACCCTGCTGGCCAGCTCTGGAGAGGGAGGAGGTGAGCACCATCACAACTGCTCCCACTTCCCCAACTCCCTCTCTGTGGGGGCGGGGAGAGTCCTATTAAGTACCCCATTTAAACCTGACTAGGGTGCGAGTGTGGGAGGATCTTTTTTCCTCTGGCCCCTACCCTATTGCATGGACCCTATCACCGTGTGCTGCATGGCCTGTATCTGGACTTGTGGGTATGCTGTGTGTCTGTCTCCTTATGTGTTTTGTGGGACGTGCCCCTGTGATTCTGTGTCCTTCTTCACGTGTGTGCCTTGTACATGTATATGTGTTTGTTTGTCCTGAAGTTCTTTGTGTGTCCTCTGCAACTGTGCACACCAGATCTTGATGTGTTTGTTCTGTGTCACCAGACTGCCCTTATGTGGTGGTGGTGGGGTGTCCCTGTGTGTCTGGAAGGTCCTATTTTGCACTTGGGTATATCATGGTGACCAACTGGCCATGAGTACATTAGATCCATTAATTGTGGGAGCCCCTGGTGTTGGGGTGCCAGCCCACTGGGCTCATGTGTGAGTGTGTCTAAATAAGTGTGCATGTGTGTGTGCACTCACATTTGGTTCTTCCTGTCCCTCTGCCACTGAGCTACTGTGACCAGGCTGACCTGGTCCAGAGGGAGGAGACTGGTCCCTTGGGTTTCCTCCTTCCTGCTATGGACTGGGCTGGGGTGTGGTAGATAGGCCGGCGGAGGGCAGCTGGGGGCGGGGGGGGGGGATATGTTTGGGTGGTTATACCTGGCTGTAGAATGTTATGAGAGCTCCTGTGTGTGCTGGGACTGCGCTGGAGGTGACACTGGCAGTGTGGGGCTATGGTGGGAGCCTATGACTGGTAACAGACTCACAGTCTGACTGTATGAAACTACAGGTGTGTGCTTGGGAATGACTGTGATTGTAGGGAACTGAGATAGCTGGGTGTGGGTGTCAGTGCAGGAGGGAATGTGACAAGGTATGTAGTGACAGTGCTGGGAGGGAAGGTGAGAGCCCCCGTGTGTGAGACCATGTGCAAGAACATGAGGTCATGGGTGTGCGCTGTGCATGCACAAAGCCAACCTTGGCTCCTGGGGCAATGGTGAAAGCTATAGGCGAGTTCTGGGGTTTGTAGTGTTATGACCAAGATCTCAGGCTCTGGACCAAGACAGACATGGGCTCAAATACTCACTGTACTTATTCAGAGCAAGAGAGGTTGAGTTTCCTTGTCTGCAGCATGGAGAAAGTTGTGATGAGTAGAGGTCCTGTGTCACTGATCCTCAGCACAGCCTTGACCCACAGTGAGCTAACACACACACACTAAGTCTTATTGGTGATCACCCCACAGCTCTGTGATTCCCATTATCTTGGAAGCTGGGATTTAAGAAATCTCCCAAGTGCCCAACCCCATTTCCTGCCTACAGTGGGTCTCTTGCCCCTTCCTGTCCCCTTGATCAAGCTGTCTGTGGGAGGGAGCATGTGTTTGGAAACTCCAAGACCCAACCCTGTTCAGCCTGAATGAATGATAAAACCCTTCCAACTCCTCATGGCCAGCCCCTAGTCTCAGTAGCAGTGATGGGGGGAAGAGGGGGAAGAGGGGTGATTCAGAGCTGTAATTGCAGGGCCCTGACACCATTTAGCTGGCACAGCTAATTGGAATTTAAATTAAAATTAGAAATAATTTAAAGTAATGACAAAAAGAAAAAGCCTGAGGATACCTTTGCCACCAGGGAGGATACCTTTGCTGATGGGGGACTGGGTGGTAGGGAGGAGTTTATACCTGGGGAAGGAAATCTTGTGGAGCCCTGACCTGGTCTTTTAGAGGAAATGCCTTTTAGCTAGGAGATCTAGCGCACCTTGCCGTCACTGCCATTCCGGGCCTCAGGTTTTCAGCTGTATAATGGGCACAAAATAATGGGAGAATCAAATAAACCATAAAATACCAAACAAGGAATAAAAAAAAAATCATCATTCATTTGTTTCAACATGAATCTAGCATAGGAGCTAATACAATAAAATTTGAAGCCATAGAGGCACTTGTGGTATTAATGTTTTCTCCATTTAAAAAGTAGGCTCAGAGGAATTGCCCCAGGCCCTAAAGTGGTGGTGCCTGGTTGCACCCTAGGACTCCAAAACCTGCAGGGCAAACTCCTGCAGACGGAGGGTTGGAAACAGCTCTTTGCTGTCTGCTGACCTCCTTACCAGGCTGAAAATGTTCCAAGGGCAGGGACACAGTGTTCCAACTCCTAACATGAAGTGGACACATAGCCAATGCCCAAGAATATTTGTTCCTGGCAGCCCATTTCACAGAAGAGAAAGTCAAGTCCAGAGAGGTCCAAGATGTAAGAGTCAGGCAAGACTGAGCGGGTCTGTGTCAGCCATGCTGATGGGGAGATCCTGTTTGCTTCCCGGCTCAGCTGTTTTCTCCTGTTCTTGCAGGTCTGCTGGGAATTGGCCCAAGTGAGGGCGGAGGGCCTACTTTTCCTGGTGGTTGGTGAGTGGCAGCAGCAACAGGAGCCCAGACCAAGGACAAGCGGGAGTTGGGAGCCCCAGGTAGGACTGCGTTCTCTTAGGCAGAAGGACATTGGGCTGGGGTAGCATTCTTCTTTGGACTCCTCCCTTTTTGCTGTGGGATTGGGTGGTTTGGGGCCTGGGTGCCCAGAAGAAGCAGCCATTTGCTCTGCCTAGGAGGAGCTCACTGCCTAAAACCTGGCTGTGGCCCAGGGAAGGCTTTGGCCTTGGAGGACTGGAGCCCACCAGTTGTTTGGGGGAAGGAGTGATGACAATTTATTGTCAGTTAGAAAGTGATATGTGAGCCAAGGGTTGGGGGAGGGTGTGTCAGTTTTTCCATGGCTCCTTGTATCTCTGTCACATCATCCTCGCCATCACACAGGGAAATGGAGGTTCACCTAGGCCTCACGGTGGGTTCGGTGGGTTGGATGCTGGGTTGGGAATGGAATGGGGTCTCTCAGCACAGCTGGATATTCTTCCATATCCCATTTCCCCCACTCTATTTCCCCAGCCTCTCTGGGGCTGAGGAGGGATTCTAAATCCCAGTTCCCAGCCTCTAGATTCAAGGCAAGCTGGGCAGTGTCTCTGAGGAATGCCCAAGAAGGCTGCAGTCTCCGAGGCGCCTCAGGAAGCTAGAAATCCCTCCCTTTGGGGCCAGCCTTGGTTCCGTCAGCCCCTATTACAATTGAAACAGTCTTCTGGGCTGGAGCATAAAGCTCCGTGTAACTCACGTGCCTAGCATGCACCCGGCCCTGGGTTTAATTCCCAGAAAGAGAAAGAAAGAAAGGAACCAGCCAGGCACACACCTGTAATCCCAGTGGCTCGGGAGGCTGATGATGCAGGAGGATCGGGAGTTCAAAGCCAGCCTCAGCAAAAGCAAGGTGCTAAGCAACTCAGTGAGACCCTGTCTCTAAATAAAATACAAAATAGGGCTGGGGATGTGGCTCAGTGGTCGAGTGCCCCTGAGTTCAATCCCCTGCATCTCCTCCCCCGTAAAAAAAAAAGAAAGAAAGGAACAAACGAACAAAGGAAGGGGGGGAGAAAAGTGTTACTCACTGAGTGTTTAAATCCCCAGTAAGCCAGATTCTGAATGGGTGTGTGCTGAGGGCACCTGGAACCTGGGGGGGATAGGAGCAGGGGATGGGAAGGATGGCTTTTCCTCTAGGAGTCCTCCCTGATCGGTTCCCTACTCCCACCCTACTGCCTGTCAGGCACTATAGGTCTTAGGGTGACTGAGTGAACTTGAGGAGGCTGGACTCCCTGGGCCTGACTCTGGGGACAGGGCTGTCACTCCACTAGGGGCAGAGGGTCTTCTGCTTATTCATCCTACTCCAAAACCTATCTGGTGGGAAGGATGTGAAGTACCTTTGGCTTGAGGGCCTCTGCCCCCTGAGGCCAGGGGAGCCATTCCCTCCCAGCACTCAAACTCCTTCCCTGAGGAGTTCAATTAGTTAGTTTTGGAGCCGCCCACTTTCTACTCTCAAGCATCACCTGCCTGGCTAGCAGAGATGTGCACATGTTCATACAGAATGCCAGGCTGCACTGGGCACATGTGCCATAGGTGCCTAGTGCCTGCACATACACCCCCATGGGCACACTAATATGCGCATACACACACTCGTCTCTGTCATCATGCACTCAGATGTCTGCCCACACATACCGCACTGTGCCCATGCTGGGTTGGGAAGTGAGGCCCTAGGCAGGGTAACAGCCTAGCCATGTAGCCTGGGTCTGGCGTGACAGTGAGAGTCCAGGTGTGGCTGTGACCAGAGGCTAGAGTTGGGTGGGCCATGCTGTGGGCAGTCAACAGCTGTCTTGCCCATGTAACTCAGGCCTCCAGGGCTTGGTACTGGAGACCAGGGACATGGGCGTGGGGGAGGGGCTGTGTCAGCTGCTGCAGTACCGTTTGTGGCTGCTGCCACAGAGGAGGAAGTGGGCTGTTTGGCCATAAGGCTGAGGTGCTCACGGGCCAGTGGGGGTCCTACAGCCCCTCTGTCTAACCCAGTGTCCATGTCTGGAGAGAGTGGAGTTGCTAGGCTCAGGGGTCCGGGAGGCAGGCAGGGTACTCTCTCCTAGGGTCCACTTTCCAAGGCCTAGACCCAGGGGAGAAGACCGTCTGTCCGAGGCATTTCCGGAGGCTCACTTCCTCTGGGCTGCCCAGGAAGTGGTTTCAGAGTGGGACTGACCAGCCCTCTGCCTGTGGCTTGCCCCGCCCCTGTCCTGCTTTCCGAGGGGAGCAGCATCTTGCCTGTGGGCTAGGCTGACTGATCAGGCTTTCTACTGCCAGGGCTGCTTAGCCTAGTTAGAGACTCTAGGAGAAAGATGAGGTGCTGAGACCATAAAGTCCCCTGCAGCCCCACAACTCCAGCTTCTCCCTCCCTCCAAGCCTGGAAGCCAAGAATCAGAGGCATCAACTTCAACAGGCACAGTCTCTTGGGGACGGAGATGGCAGGCTGCTTCTTGAAGATTCGGCAGCACTAAGCAACTGTATAAATGAGCCTGGCCAAGTGGCTTTGCTACTCAGTGCCTCAGTTTCCCCCTCTGGCAAATTCAATGATATCTACCCTGGCGAGGTTATATGGAAAGTAAGATAATGTGTGCAAAGTAGCCAGCACCATGCTTGGCACATCTTCTGTCAGTCATGTGAAGTACTCAGTGCCTGCTTCCTGGTAACTATTCAGAAAACAGCAAGTGGCACTAATAATGGGCCATAATTGTCTGATTGGCTGAGGACTGTCCCAGTGTCACAAGGCCAGGTGGCTTTGGAGCCCAACTAAGTCAGGTCTCTGGCTCCCTCCTTCCCCCTCAGTTCTGCCTTCGGCAGCAATACCAGGGGTGGGAGAGCTCCATTGGTTCAATAGGTTCCCTGTCCTCTGAGGAAGGAGTGCCAGGGTGGAGCAGCTGTGCCCACTCAGCAGCCCAGCCCCCTCCTGCTGTCTCCCCCTCACTCCCTTTCAAAGAGAGAAGAAAACAGATTTCGTGACAAATAGATGCAGGATGCTGGGGAAGGGAAGCAGGCAGCTAACTGCCTGCCCCCTCAGGGCTCCTCTCAGCCCTCCCACTCTGGGCTCCTGCAGGACTTTGGGCTTAGAGAATTGGCTGGGAATGAGGAAGTGGGTGGTGAGCCCTCCTGCCAGCCTACCTACCCTCAGACCCCTGGCCTCAGCCTTTGGACGGGGGTAGGGGGCAGTCATCTTGGACTGAGGAGACTGAGGGGTCAGGGAGCAACAAATCCCCCCATACACTTGTGCATGCATCCATCCTTAACCCATGGCAGCTGGTGGCCTGCCTATCCCAGAAACAAACAGAAGGTCAGCTCAGTGAGGACTAGGATGAGCTTTGGCTTTCACTCTTTGGGACCAAGAGGCTGAGCTCTCCCGTGTTGAAGAGTTAATGATGGCGATATGGCAGGCAGGGCTCAGGAGCCTGGAGGGCTGGAGATCATTGTAGGGCTGGGCCATCAAGGCAAGGGAATCCTGCAGATTTAGGAAAAGGACCTCGGCAAGCATCAGACAGTCCCTTGTTTAATATTTCCTGGCTGTGTCCCCTGGAGCCAGGTGCTGGACGGCTGTAAGTCTTCTTATTTCTATGAAATAGGCAGATAGGGGAGTATCCTTATGAGAAATGAATGATGGGAAGGAACCACTGTGGGGCATTGGGGACAGGAAGACAGAATAGCAAGCCCAGAGCCTCCTCAGCAGGAAGGAACTTGTCTGATCAGAGAACTGAAAGGGGTCATTGTGGCTAGGACACTGGAATGAAGGGAGAGCAGCTACCAAGGGGGTCAGGAAGGTAAGGGCCACAGGAAAGGAGTCTGAGCTTACCCAAGGAGCAATAGGAAACTCCAGGGGCTTAGGCAAGGGTGATGAGGTCTGCTGTACTCTTAAGTCTTAAGAGCCCTGTCTGGATGCTGGAGCAGAGGAACCATAGGGGCCAAACTAGGGGAGGTAGAGCCGTGGGCAGGCAGGTACCAAGCCTGGAGATGGCAATGGTGGCCAGGATGGGGCAGGAGGCGGAGAAAAGAAGGTCTTGATCTTTGCTGCAGAGGCAGACACCATTGTGGTCTGGGTGGGGAGGCCCCAGAGGAGGCAAACTGGCCCCAGGTGTCTGGCCTGACAGCTGTGTGAGCGTGGGCGCCCCTAACAGATGAGAAGCACTTGGAAGGGAACACCAGTGGGCTGCTGTGGGCAGATTTGAGCACTTTTAGAATCATTCACATGGTGAGGTTGGGGAGGCAGGTGGGGCCACAGCCTGGGTCCAGAAGGGTCTGGGCTAAAGGTGGAGACCTGAGAATCTAAAGCCTAGGTTGGGGAGGAGAGGGCTCAGCAAGCCATTGGTGGGGGAATTTGAGGGTCCTTGCTGGGACTGCTGTCCCTCGAAGGTTCCTGCCCAGGCACCAGGAGGGCAGGCTTGTGGTGGTTGAGCCACTGTTTTCAAAACAGCCCCGGAAGCTTTGGATCATGTCTATGGTTGTATTGGGTAAACAAGAGCAGCCGAGCAGCCAGTCACCAAAGCCAAGGTCGGATCAGATGTCTGTGTGGTATAGGCTTCAGGGCCAAGGTTGGGGGTGTGAGAGGAGGCTCTCGGGGTCCTCCAGTATCAGGACTGGAGAAATCTTGGGGGTTTCCATTGTTAAGACAGGGAAGCTGAGGCCTGTGCTCTGCCCATGGATGTAGGCTGCCTCAGCCCACCCCAGACCTTCCCACAGGCCAGGCACCCCATGACTGAGTGACCGAGGATAGATGAAAATGGGCAGAGACAGGGCAGGGTGTGAGGATGACAGTGGTGGTAAGGACCGTGGTGACGGCTTCTGGGTGTTGGCACTGTTTCTTGTGCCAGGCCTGGTGCTCAGCATGCCTGCCCAAGACTCAGCCATGTTCTCAGGGCACTGGATCTGAACTAGGCCTGTCCAGACCACTCATGCCCATGCTCACCAGCTCCTCTGTTTCCTGTCCTCTGGGAATGGCCTGCTACATGGGTTGGTCTTGTCTCTCCCAGCTTTTTCGAGGTCCCTGCAGTCGGGCGGGGGCATCATCTGGGCT